GCACGTGCCTCCGGGCGCACGTGCCGGGCAAGGAATGAGGGCTGTGCCCCACGGGACAGGGGGCGCCGCTCCTCCCGCTTGCTGCCCACCCGGGAACTCGGCGTGGCCCTCGGCCTCCAGCACCCGCCTTGGGTCTCTAACCAAGTCCGAGGGGGCTCTCCCCCAATTCCCCTCGGGGCTAGAGTCCCGTCCGTGGTGCTCCGTGGGAAGCGGCAGCGTGTAAATTAGTGGGACGCTGCCAGCTCTCGTGCTCTCAGGAGGTGGTGTTTGACGGAGCCACGGGTGAAGATACTGCCGGGCAAGAACCTTATTCGTCAGTGAGGTTTGGTAAATAGCTGGGCGCTGTTACAAAAAGCAGCGTTAGTTTGCCAGGTTTCTTGTGGCAGCATTTAATTTCTGTGCTACCGCATTTTAGCGTGCCCGGTTTATGGAACATCCGAACATGCTGCAGCGTCTCCTTGAACTTTTGCCTGAGTTGTGGTTGCGTTCAGCTGCCGATTACGGGCGTCGCACCCCAGGGAAGGAACGCCAGCTTCTTGCCACAGCCATGCTGGTTTTAGGTGTCTGCTGCTGGCCGCTGTCAGGATGCGTGATTAGATAAAACTTTGGTCTGATACAGCCATTTTTACGTCCCTTTTTTCCAGACAATTTTAACACCATACGCTTTTAAGATTAGTCATAAGATGCACAGTAATCAAAGTCAGAGATTTTTGTTGGTAATGAACGTGTATGTAACAACACGAGTCAACACAGAGTTTCTGCTCTTTTTCCTTTGCCTTCCCAGAAGAATTCAACAGATGGCTCTGTGCTGGGGAGACTGATCTCTCCAGTTGTATCCAAACTGGCTTTGATCCTTGGGGTCCATTGTAAAGATTCTTCTGGGATATGGATTGCGGTGATCAGTGAAATCATGGGATGCTGCTCAAGTAGCTTTTCATTAGCTAGACAAAGGTTGCATTGAGGGATTGAGGGATATTTTTCACTACCAGCCACATGCTTGGAAAGCCTTAAGGTGTTCTTGGAATCTTGGGTGGCTTGTGATTTTAGACAGCTCATCACACTGGGAAGAGGGTTCAGTTGTACCAGCCTCTCATGTAGAAGATTTTCTGTTTACGTATGAAAAAGCTGACTTACCAATTTATTTGTTTATTTCTCTTCAACAGCTGAAGGCTGACGTGGTTCCAAAAACAGCAGGTAAGGCAGCATCTCCAGAATTTCATACTTAATATTCAAGGTTTAGATTGTGGTTTTCAGGAGCAAGAATATTAACTTCTGGAAAGTATTTCCACGTTCCATCCCCACATGTTAAATAGAGGAATAGGATACAAGCTGTGTCAGAACAGTGCTAGTGAGGACTTAGACTTTGTTGTCCTAGATAGTTTCATTCTGTGATTTGTGTCAAGACAGTACAGTCCATGTGTTTGGTTATCAGTGGTGAATAAACACGTTCACTAGTTTGCATTAAAATCAAATCCGAGAGCAAATGGGCAAGGGTAACCAAGGAGATGGTGTCTCTTGCGGTTTCCAAAGCGCATATAGGGTTTTGTTTTCCTTGTCAGTAGCCCATCAGTGCACTGGTGTTAGAGAGTTTTTGTGTTTTGTCACGTGCTTCCTTCCTCATCTCTTTATTTAGTAGTTCTGAAAAACTTGTAGTTTTCTTTCCATTTTCGGTAGATGAATATCCTTAAAAAAACAAAACCCCACATCATCTTCACAGTTACTATAGAGAACAAAGGCATAAAAGTCAGAAAATTAAATCTTTGACTCCAGAGAGGTGGGTTTGGGGCGTGGAGGGTTTGGAGTTCAGATAAAACAGCAAAATAAAAGGGAGATGAGATGGAAAAGGCTTGTGTTTATACCCTGTTCTGAGGCTAAACACGTTTTGTTTCCTCACAACAGAGGTTTTTTTTAAAGCATAGAAACAACTAACAAATCAACAATAGTTTAAAGATACTAGAAAATTTTTGAAGGGTATACATTCAGAACATTGTTAACGTAGTTGTGTTTGGTTATATTATGTATCACATATGGCAACATAATTCTTTATGTTTGTTTTCACAGAAAACTTTAGAGCTCTTTGTACTGGTGAAAAAGGATTTGGGTATAAAGGATCCACTTTTCACAGAGTGATTCCTTCATTTATGTGCCAGGTAATGTTGGTGTGGTGTTTTTTTACTTGTGCTCTTGAGTTTATCTGTTTGTTATTTATACATTTTTAGAACCAGTTAGACTTGTAGTAACCATTTTAAGTGGCCTTGCTCTGACCTGTGATCACTACAGAGTACAGTGAGTGTGACCTGCATTTCTGATCTTTTTGCTGCAGCTGTTGCTTAGCACATCTGTTTTACAAATAAATGTAAATTACGTGTAGACCATCTTAAAAAAACTTTAGGGCTTTCTGCTTTTGTGTAGCAGTGTACTTTAGCATGGGGTATATCTGGCAAAATGACCCTTGTCTGGGAGAAGCATCTGTGGGTAGAATGACAATCATCCTTGTGTTCTGAGTGAGCTCAGAAAACAGCGTGTCCATTCTTTATTCCTAGTAGAATAATCTGTTCACAATTGTGAATGTGTGTTTAACTTTTTTTTTCTGAACATCTCCCTGATGTGGAGAGGAGGAGGGAAGCAGAGGGTTGGTTGGGGGTAGATTTTTGGGATGGCCCACCTGAAGTGGATTTTGTTTTGATTTAAAGGATGCGTCTTTAGAATTTCTGAATGCACATTAGCAATTTTTTCTTCAACAGCAGCAACAACAACAAACGGAAAAAGGCTTTTTGAAAGCCTTTTTTCTGCTGTGCTTGGCAGATGAGCAGGACTTGAGCTGCTGTAGTGCATGGAACTGTATGATTCTTGGCGGTCCTCTCCCTTAAAAGAAGCTACATTTCAGCAGTATTGCCCTGTAGAATGGCTCTGGAACAAATCTGAGATGACGGTTATAGTAAGCATGATTTATGTAACTGGTGGCTATGTTGGTCCCTCCTCCACACATTTTTGGTTTTAAGCTAAAAATACAGCTGTCAGGACAAGAGGCCTTAATCTTAAGACCTATTTCTAAGAAGAGAAAGGGGACAAATGTGCTGTGAAGGATCTGTCTTCTTGCCTTTGAAATGCAAAGTGAGGTTTTGTGTTACTGACAAAGAGACAAAGTTTAGAAGTCTTGCTGGGGTCAGAAATACATAAATAGAAGAAGAATAAAAATCCTACTCTCAGTTCTACCACTAATTTGTGAAGTTCTGGTGAAGTCTGTTCTCTTTGCCTCCTTGCTTTGTCCCCACAGATGGACCCGGAATGAGGATACTGGGTGGTTGAGTCCTGGTATGGCGAAATGCAGGTTTCATGTTTAGGAATTAATTGGTAGTCATTACCAAAGTGGAAATACTGTCACAGGTTTCAGATAGTTAAAGTGAGAGGAAACTGCAGAGGCCTTTCTGCTTGTTGAGGTGGAGTGTTACTATGATTCAGGCAATTAATTGGTAGAGCCTAATTGGAGGTCATGGTATCCGGGACCTGGCAATTCAGGTGCCTCCACCTGGCATGTGACACGCAGAGCATACCTGTGGGAGCGCGTAGGAGTAACACCAGCTCTAATAGACTGCTCAAGGGGAGAATGGAAAGATGAAATACTTGTTAGGTGTGAGTTCTTTACTGGCATGGGTGGTGTCGCTTCCGGGAGAGGAGATGGTGGCTTGCTGGAAGCAGTGTTTAGTAGCCACCTTTGGGAGTCCCTGCAGCTGGGGCTTGTTTGTTGGGGTTTGTTTGTCTAACCTAAGACATCCTCGCATCTATCCTAGCAAACAGTGTCTAAGTGAGGGAAGTTTGTGTGGCATCTGCACTATTGGAACAATAAAACCTAGAAACAACAAATAGTAATAATAAAGATACTGACCAGTTTTTAGAAAAGTTAGTTCTCAGGTTCTGCCTATGGTGTAATGTATTTGAGGTGTTTCTTAAAATTGTTGCTCTTTGTTGCATCCCACTGGGGAGTAAGGCTGGTAACACAGAAAGGTGGTCATTGCAGTTAAGGATGTCAGTTGGAGAATATCAACAGTCTCTGGATTGGAGCAGAAATTTACTTTTAGCTGGGTCATATCTTCATTTTGTTACATGGTTTCAGATCCTCATGTGACCATACTCATTCCCAATCAGTAGCATCACTTCTGACGTACAATAACGTTGCTGTGCTAGTGACGTTAACAGCTATTTCTGTTTCAGGGTGGTGACTTTACAAATCATAATGGAACCGGTGGAAAATCCATTTATGGCAGTCGTTTTCCAGATGAAAATTTCATACTAAAGCATGTAGGACCTGGTAAATAAAGATTCTTTCTACTTTCTGATGACTATAACCTGTAATGAAGCGTTGTTTGTGAAGATGTATTTTTAAAAAATAAGGTTCTTTAGATGTGTGGGGCACTTGGTACTTAGAGAAATATTCAGGAAGTTTAGCAAGTATGGGTTGTTTGTGTTTTACTTACAAAATCAGGCACGTCCTTTTAAGTTCAGATTAAGTTGAGAGAAAATAAAGGAAAAGCCATACATAAGGCCATCTGATGGAATTCTACCAAATTCTTTTTTGGATTGTTACTTCCTCGTCGCAGGAAACTACTGCTGCTGTTGCACTAGAGTAGAGGTTACACACGTGTTAGTCATGTTCTGGGCATGTACAGCTGATTACTAACATTCTTGCTATGGAAAGAAGGGAGGCTGGGCTCTAGGGAATAGTCAAAGACAAGAAATTGGCACTAGAAATCATTTGGAGACAACACGAGGCCATCACATTTTCTGCCTGTCCATCTTTAGTCTAAATGTGCAGGGGAAAATTGTCATCTCTACTGCATCCTTGTTATACCACTCTAATAAGCTGCTGCTGTTGTTGCAGGTGTTCTCTCCATGGCCAATGCAGGACCCAATACCAATGGATCTCAGTTCTTCATCTGCACTGCAAAAACTGACTGGTAGGTTCCCAGTCCTACATGTGAGCCTGCTGCCTGAATCTGGAGGGTTTGGGGTTTTCTTGGGGCTTTTTTTTCTTTGTGGGTTGATGTATGTTTGGTTTGGTTTTCTTTTTTAATTTCCAAATTACTTGACTCACAGTGGAAAATAAATTGCTTTGTGCTACGTGAGGCAGGAAGGGCTGTGAGGGTAACAAGGCCGCGCTGTCCCTCATAATGCTTCTAAGGCCCAGAGCTGAAAGTGTTTCATGTCACTTGTAGAGCAGTTGTGCCTTTGTAGAGCTCTATCAACAGGTGAGAGCTGTGGAGAGCTGCGAACATCCCTTTGCTGAGCTTGGTTTGGTTCAGTCTTTATGTTGGGTTAAGTAAAACTGCCTTTGTTCGTTTGTTTTACAGGCTAGATGGAAAACATGTTGTTTTTGGGCATGTAAAGGAAGGAATGGATGTCGTGAAAAAGATTGAGAGCTTTGGTTCCAAGAGTGGAAAGACCTCCAAAAAGATTGTCATTACTGACTGTGGCCAGCTGTCCTAGCCTTTTCCCTGCCCTTCAGGACAACTTCAATGCTGTGAAAAAACGAATCCTAAAAACCCCAAACATTTCTGATCACATGCGTAGCACCTATGGAACCATATTTTCTATTTAACTTGGTACAACTTTTATACTGAATAATATTGATTACAAGTATCACCCAGTAACTGAAACGTGTTTTAACTGAGCTACCTTGGTAGTCACACTGTCACACTGATTTGGTAGAGTCCCAGTGCAGTTTGAAGTAGTATGGTCACTGAGAGCATGTCCGACTGCTGTGCTGATACTGCTCCTAGTATTTGGATGTTTCAGGTGTTAGAATTGGTGGTGGAGTTGACAACCAAGTGTTCTGTGGTTGGGTGTTGGATATAAATTGAGAAATACCATGTTTCCTTTGGTGCTAATAAATGCTTATTCTGTTGTTTGTCATTTGAAAAATGATTCTGTAACTCGTTCTCTCAAGGCTGTCTGCAACATGACTGTCAGATTTACTTTGTCTCAATTTGTCTATCCAATAGAATTAATGTGCGGTGGTGGCTTTCTGAAAATTAATTCTGAATCTAAATTTTTTTTTTGGTAGTCTCAGACCAGTGTTTAAAGCTGAACTCTTCCTTGCCTTGCTTCAAGGGAGCAATTTGACTTTTGGGTTAAATAAATTGCTTTAGGTTGAGTTAGCCTACTGCTCTTCCTGGCCTAGAGCTCTTCCTGGGCAGCAAGATCACAAATTAACCAAAAGATCATGGGACTTTTTCATTATGCAGCTGTGAACATATTTGAAGGACCGTTCTGCTCTGGGATCTGGTTCTGTGAGAAATACAGCACAGTTCTCAATAGGTAGCCTAATTTTGCACTTTCAGAATATAATCAGAGTATAGTGAGCTGGCTTGAGTGTGAAATGGGTTTCATTGGGTTTTTTTGTCCTGTTAGTCCTGCAAAGGCATCCCATCCTACATGTTACCTGGATTACGGTTTCCTCTCATGCGTCATAGTAAGTCAGAATTGGTCACCATGGAATCACAAAGCCTAACTGATAGAGCAAAATTATTATTGTTGGGGTTGACGCACAAGAAGGGAAGAATTCAGTTGATCAGATAAACACATTTTGTTTGTGTAAACCGGTATGTTTTATGTGGAGTGCTTGAGTGGTAGCAAATGTTGGAACCTCACAACATCACTTTTAGAATCACTGAAGCTGTAAAGTTGTGATGCTTGTGGGAAAAAGACTTGACTGTTTTCTCTTGTTTACTGAAGAGAAAAATAAAATGTGATGGCTTTTTTCAAATGTGAATTTACTTCCATTGCATTCTGATAATACGTGGGTTTAAAACTATTTTGCACTGGATTTTTTTTTTCCACTGAGGGCTGCATTCTTGTGTGTACGAGGTAGTATTCAGAGTATAATTTTGCAGAAAATTGATTTGAAAAGGTTTTCTTTGCACTATAGCTGTTTTTGTCTTTTTGTAGTATTTTTGAAAAACTAATTTGTGCTGGTTTGACTGATTTCACTTTGATAGAATAATGATTTATTTTTTTGGTTCTCTTAATTTGTGTAAGAAAAATAATTAAATACAATTCTACCACAAAATAAGTCTGTTCCTTTCTTAAATATGACTTTGCACATTTACTTGAAAGCGGGAGTGTGAGGAGCTGAACCCTGTTGTGTTTCCTAGGGCTGCTCTGTTCTGTCCGCCGTGCCATGGGTCTGACCTGGTAGTGTTCAGAAGCCACGCTCGTTCAGAGATGCAGCCAGTGAGGGGCCAGGTAGCAGTGCCCTGCTTTGCCTCGCGCTACTGAATCTGAAATATCTGGCATATGGACAGTGGTTCAGGTTTTGAGACTGTTCTCTTGTCTGATTTATTCCATCAGTTTGCAGAGATCATGGGTAAAGTGTAAATTTACTGCTGTTTTTTGTTTGGGTTTTTTGGGGGTTTATTTACATTTCTGAAATCTTTTTCAAAACCTTGATAGTTTCAGTTTTTTGCTGCACAGCTGAAGAGGAGCTTCCTTGCTGTGTGACCTGAGATGACCATAAGGATTTAGCATCTTCCTGTCTATCAGTGGTACTTACAGAGTGGGAAGCCCGATGGAAGATGATAGCCACAAACCAGTCCATTTTCTCAGAACTGTGTTAAGCCTTAAAGAAGTAATAGTATTATGCATGTTACGGTGATGTATTACACATGGCTGTGACTTTTACAGGCACATGTATGCCCTAATTTCTGAAATGAAGTAGTCAAAATTTTCCATCACGGCTTGCAGTCTTGACTGGAAGGTAGGTGTTGGACCTGCAGAATCACTGATGAGTAACATTGATTGCAGTTGCTTGGTGGGGCTGCCCTTGTTTTCCAGGTACCGGTCCTATGCCTACTTTTCTCTGCCAGAAGAAAGTCTTTGCTACCTGGGTGCTTAGAGCAGTGTAATCTGAGTCTTAATGTTCTGATGAAATAAAGAGGTCAATCTCTTGAAGTTTTCTTCTGTAAAGTATCTCAAAATGGATTTTCCTGGGGTTCTTCCTGGTTTTTGTCTTTTCTTTCCCTCCCTTCCCTATATTTTAAAGGCACAGAGTACAGGTATTGCACCCTGCAGCAGTGAAATACTGTTCCTGTGCTGAAAATGCACACCTATAGCTTACAGGAAGTATACCCAACCTAATTTTAAGACATGCTTGTGGCACCACAGGACGCTGGATGGCTAGCTGGAGTCCTCTCTGGTCCTGAGGCTGTCAGTTACGGGTAGCTTGTCCACTCCTGTATGCAAGATCAGGGTGGGTAAGTACACAGAAATCAGCCTTTGCTAGTGATTCTCTGCTGGAATCTAATTTTCTACAGGATCATAAGAGCCCATCTCTCTTCTATAGCCCTCACATATCACAGTTAGGTTCTTTTGCAGCCTTGCTTGATGGTTTTGTCAGCTTCAAAATCATGGACTAGAATAGGAAGAGGTAGGCAGTGCCACCACTTGTGACTTCCTTACTCCAGGATTTTGTACCCCTTTGTAGCACAACGATCCAGGTCATGGCAACAGCAAACAGCGCGACAGGTCTCCCGCGTACAGAAAAGGGCTTCCGCAGTCAATACACTTCACCAGTGAGATGGAAACTTCACTAAATTGTTTCTCAGATGCATTCAGGTGTTGAACGGCTACGCTTTCCTTGCCTTCCGCTGGTGTAAAGCGCTCCTCTTGAAGCCATTCAGAACGCGAACGCGGTTCCTTTTAGAGCGGTGGCGTGACCCCAGAGTAACACCTTCTTCATGTCTGTATTAGAAAGGTGGGAGAGTGTCTGTCACGCCAGCAGGAGCACGGTGCGGGGGGATTTTTCCCCATCCCCTGCCCGGTGCGCGGTTACTGCAGTGCCGCGGCTGGCCCAGCGGCTCTGGGCTGGGTGTCCTGCGGGGCGGGGCAGGCCGCGCCGTCCCTGTGCCGCAGGACTGCATTAAATCCTTGCCTATCTCCCCACGCAGCGATCG